CCAAGCTGCTTTCACTTGTGTCACTGGCATCTCAATATTTGCTCACGTGGCCTGGGCACTGGCCTCTTCCCCATGCTCCTTCAATTGCCTCCGAGTAATTTCAGGCTTTATTTTGAGATTTGCTGTTCCTTTTCCTCTGACAGAGCTGCTGTCTTTGCAGAGAAGGATCTGCTGGCTTTGGTAGGCTGTACAGCACCGTAATCCCTTCTCTGTCCCCTCTGCTCACTGTCTGCCTTGGAGACATGGCAGTCCATCACTGTATCTCCCTGCCTGTGGTTATTTCTGTGTTTGTGGCCAGCGCTCTCAGTTTCCTGCCCCTCTATATTTCCCTGTGCGATGTAAATATTAGAGATCAGTGATTTCAAATGAACCCAGCCTAAACCTGTTAGAGCAGACCTGTCCCTGATGAATTGTGAGAATTCATGGGCTCGCTCTGCAAGGTTCCGAGTGGAGAATCCCTCTGGGGGCGCTTGGGCTGCAGACGAGCTCACGTGGGATGTGGGCTCCGGTGTCCGTGCCAGCCTCCGAGCGGGGCGGCAGGCAGCAGTGCCGGGGGCTGCTCCGCATCCCGCGTGCAGGGCGGCTTGCACAGCCTCCGAGTGGCGGCTCGGCCTCCCCCGGGGCTGCCTGCGCCCCGGGAAGCTCCGGGTGAGCAGCGACGCTCACGGCGCTCCTTCCTCTTCCTCCCGGAGCCGGCTCTGCCGTGCAGGCTGGCTGGGGGCTGCGGGGGGCTACTCGCTGCCCATCTGCAGACAGGCCGTCCTGTGCACGGGGCCGGTAGCTTGGGTGCTACAAATGAAGGTCGTGGGGCTTGTGTCTCAGGTGGGGTAGGAAAATGCAGCTCTGGGGCAGCAGCAGGTCTGAAGGGGCTGCTGGCGAGCGGAGATGTGTGGGTCAGGACAGGGCCCAGCTGGAGACACTTGGCAGGAGGGCGCCAACGGGGAGCGACCCGCGTGTGCAGAGCGTGTTCGTGGCAGCGACACGCCGTTCAGCAAGGAGGGTGCTCCGAAAGATGTAGCATGGCAGCATGGAACGTGCTCCTCTGCTCCGCGTACCTCCTGTCCTCCTGCAAGGATAACCACAGGCTGCTTTCCCACCCCGTCTCGCTGGGGAAGGGCAGCAGCTTGAGCCCATGAGTTGGTGCTGTGTTGGCAGCGCTGCTGGCAGTTGTGCTTGGAGTCCCCTGCCCTCCCGTGTCTGCCGCGTGCGCTGCCGTGCTGCGGTGCTGCCGTGGGAGGGAGCAGCTCGGCAGGAGAGGCTGGGCGCGCGT